CAACAAAACCACTGTTATATCAGTGTGATACTTGAGAAAATGATTAAGCCCTGTGATTCTTTCCAAAAATGTTTTCGGTCTTATCGTTTACATTCTTTATTATTGTCAATTGACAAAATTTCTAAATCGAGAGTATATAGCAAGGAAAAACTTTACAAATCGAAAGAACCTGTTACAATCATGGTAACGCCATTAATGATTAAGATACACGGTAATATAATCTTGAAGCGTGTTTAATTGATATGTTTCGACAGCCAAAGCCCAACCGGTGCCCTAAAACACCGATGATAGAGACAAAAATATACAAATATTTATCCTCCTCTGTGAACCAGTTTTTGCTTGGATACGAGGCTGGTGGTGATCTTACAATGTAAGTGACCACACGAATTACAACGTTGATGTTGGCAACAAAGGTTCCATTTGCCTTGATCTGACTCTTAGGATATTCGAAGAAAAAGAAGAAAATAATAAGGGGTGGACCACGCACACCGATTAACCCGCCCAAGAAGCCACTTGCAAAACCAGCCAGAAGCATCCAAAAGAAAACAGGGAGGAGAGGCCATAGCTGATTCTTGACTTCATGCCAGAATGATTCGGCCTCACGCTTCTCAGGGAACACGACATTCTTTTCGAGAACCAACGCTTGTAACTGCGACGTTTATGATATTCTGGGTCTGTTTCCTGAAGGGAAGCCTTCTTTGCAGCTTTTCCTTCCTCGTTAGGTCGCCTAAACTCAGCAATCTCCTCTTCACTGAACTTGGGAAGTTGATCGGTATGCTCAAGTTCATATCCTAGAATATTCGTGACTGATTCGTGTCTGCCGTGCCTGTGCCTCAGTTATCTACACATCGTCATCGGTCAAATCTTCTGATCTTTTCCATTTGTCTTTTTGTATTTCACTTAAGCTTTTAGCACGCACAAGGTTTCTCCAAAGGGATAACTGGGAAGCCCTACGATACGCCTCCCTGCTAATTATCTGCCCATAAACCTGCTCTTTGTTTCTGATATCAAGAAACTGGAAAAGGGAATCCAAAGTTTCTTGTTTGTGCGAGAGGAGTGCTTCGTAGCTTAACTGGTGCATGGTTCCCTCCGGCTCGGAATTGTGTAAATCAATGGCAACCTCTTGCAAATCTCGCCAGGTTTCAGCATTGAGGTAATAGTGTGCCTCACCGACTGGCGCCTTTGAGAACGACAGGCAAACATCCCTAGGATCACGATGTAAGTAAACATAACGAAGCCTGGATCCAAAGTGCATAGAAAGCTGTTCATGGAACTTGCCATAGTTAATTGACTTGCACAACCATGTGTTACACTCGTTACGGACTGTAAATACATCCATGATGGCTTCAAATACTGCTACTAGCGGTACAGTGTTTTCTTTACAACACTGGAAGACTTGCTCTCGATCAAAAATGATCCGCTCCTCGTTAACGCCCACCATGAAACGGGATTCTTTTCCACGAACTCGCACACGTGACCAACTAATGCGCGCATATATCTCCTCCAGAAAGATCGCCAAACTTGTCTAAGATGGGCGCAAAACTTTTCAAGATATGAGTAGGGTAGGATTTTGCTATGACTTTGCTTTCCGAGATATTAGTATAAAAAGCCAGCTGCTACTAGACCGTCGACTACCAATCAAGAAGAGAATAGGATGTCTCTCTTCCTGTACAAGAGCTGTCAAGGCGTTGTTTTCAGTCACTCTGGATTCCTTTTTCTTTTCAAGTCGCTTTTCTGTCCTTCTTTTCTTGCAATATTCATGAATCTGCCATGCTGCAACTAGTATCGTCTGGGAGCCAATCAGCACCAGAGGGAAATCTTGCAGGTATTGACCAAGTGGTGTTCCGGCAAATGTGCATGATTAGAACAAACGCAACCAGTAACTAGGCACAAATGTTATCTCTTAGATTAGAACGCTGAAGTGTGATTGGGAGAATGGCAACGAAACCAAGTGTTTGTTTGAAAACAGCGTATCTCATGTTACAATAATCAAGCCATGCAAATGGACCAAGCTGATATAGGAGTAGGAAAACATTTACCCTTGCAAATCCTGTCGCATTAAAAGCAACTTTTCCGAGGAATACAGCATCAAAGAAGAAGGTGATCACACAGGCTGCAGCCATACTAAAGGGCACTAGGATGATAGAGTGATTTTACTTGACCCTAGACTACGAGTATTCCCCCATTTTCCTAAGGGATAGTAAAGCGAGCAATACGTGAGCGGGCGTGAAAATCACCCCACGAGAGAAAAGGCGACACGCGGCAAGGAGAGAGAAAAATGAGGGACTACAGACAAAGCCCCCTCATGCATTGCTCTCACAACGCAAAACTCTGATTGGCTCTTCCATGGAAATCTGTCAACATCTGTCAAAAACGCGCCACCTATTATCAACACTCGACATAATCATTACAAAACAATTTTAAATAACTAGAGCATAACAAATAACGGCACAGAACAAATAAATTGGCAATGAGTTGCTCCTGTAGAAGCAACTAAGCAGAAAGCCAACCCGGGGACTGAATGGTGAGGTTCGCGTGGAGAACCGAAACCATGGTCTCGTGTGATCACAAATAAGTGGCAATAACAGAACAGTCGCAAGGCTGTTATGCCAATTCAAAAGGCATCACCAAGGGCGGGACTACGCGCTCCAGTCCAAAGACTCACATTATCCTTGGAAAAAACAAGTAGGAGTTAAGCCGTTTCGATACAGTTTTTCAGAGGCTATGCCGATATTTTTCAATCGCCTTAAAAGTTTTTTTTTCCTTTTCCGATCGCTATAAAATTTTCGCCAATAATTGCCTATGGATTGAAATTTGTGAAAATGTAGTTTTAAGTAAAATCGATATTACTATGACAACAATAAACAAAAAACTTTGAAATTGATAAAAGCCGAATTTTGTGTGATCTAGACCAGCTACTGAAAATCCAACACTAGGAACTTAAAGTTTGGTGTTTAGCAAACAATCTCCGTAAGAAGTAAAAAATTCTGTATGCTTGAATTCGACTAAAACGAAAATATATATTTCAAACCTTAAATTTTCAATAGCAGTGTTTCAAAATTTTTTGTTTATTGTGGTCATAGTAATATTGATTTTACTAAAACCTACATTTTGACAAATTTTAGTCTATAGTCAATCATTAGTGAAAATTTTGTAGCGATCAGACAAGGAAAAATCACTTTTATATATCGGTATGGCCTCTGAAAAACTATCGAAACACTTTAAAATTCATTGCTCTAAAGGCGATTATGACTGAGTTACATCGCAATTCTCCATAGTTAATAATAGCTTCAGTTTACGCTGCAATCCATTCTTCGAGATTTGGATCTGTAAATCACTATCCGTGAGAATTTAACATACTGCCAAAAACGCTAACTAGCTGGGCCCAGCGTGACAAAACATTGTAGGAAACCGTCACATTCACGAACTAAAAGAAAGTCGCTTATAATTATTCATATCCAGGAGGCATTTTGTCTGAGAAATTAAACAACCTTAAACCTCTATCTAGCCGCATTGAAGAACTTTACTTTTCAAAAGAGTTCAAATAAAATGCTCTTGCATCAGACGGCAAGTCGTGCCGACCATAAATAATAACCGCAGAAAATCAATATGCCTGTCATGACCTCTCAGTATGAAATAAGCGGCAAAAATCACATTCGCTCAGTCAAAATGTTTTCCTCCAGAGCATAATCTATCCGTCAGAGGAAAAAATACATTGGAACAAGCAGTATTTTAACATGAGCTAAAAGCCGTGTGTTACCTACCGATACCCTATTTACTCTATCAAGTTCTTCACGCAAAACAGCCGCGAAGAAAATTATATATCTGGGTTTTCTTTTACTTGCAATAAATATTCCCCGCAATCTACAGATGACAAGAGCAATGATAGCTCAAATAGAGAAGGAATCCCACTGGATGCGCTGCGGGACTACTCGTAGTCTAACTTGACCCGTAAAATAGGTAGTAGAATACTGCGCACTATTATGCACTAATTCCATTGTATTCGTTTGTTTAGCTCTTGCTATTTGGCACTATTTGTTAGTATCTATTTCACAGTTAAAGCAAAATCACTCTAACCTAAAACTTGATTTGGGAAATATAAGTGTAAATTTGAGGTTGTTAGAATAACATTTATCATCTTTGCGGAAGTTAGCTTTTGTGTCACTATCAGTACATCTCCAAATATCACGAATATCTTAAGTTATTTGATTGGAAAATGACTTTGAATTCCAGGCCTCCTTGTGTAATAAAAGGCCCTTAATGCAGGCAATGAATCTGATTTAGTTGAATATGAGGTCAAATCCGTGATTATTTTAACATAATGTGTGCTACTTTTCTTTTTTGTGTTTTGTGGGGAGGCTGGGGAGAAAGAAAAAGAGAGCAACCTCTGCCGTATAATGTGCGGTTCACTGCATGAGCGGATTTGCGGTTCAATCTTTGGTTTTGGCTAAACCAACCGACTATTTGGACGCTTTTTAGGGCTGTTGTGAAGATAACACCTTTTCCCTCTTCCCATCGTCCCCCACGCGCTTCCTATTTTTCTCTATTATTGCTATTTATAGGGATACCAAGCGGGAGTCTCTGCGGAGGAGAGAGTGGCTGGGCTGCTTCAAAAGCATGTTGGCTTACGTAATTAATCCTCAGAATACCAAAAATCCTTCGTGTGTTGGCGCAAGGTGTGCCTTATGGTAGTATTAATATATAGATCTAGCCAGGGCTAAAAGCGAAGTTCCTGTTTACTCGAATTTATAATTTAAATCAAACAATAAACTTGTATTCCACAAATCAGTTAACTTTACAGCACATTCATGTGACTTTTGAGGGAAAGGCTAACTGATTTTAGAGAAAAATAAGTTGCAAACAGTCCAAGCTAAGCGGTGAACTTAATCTTACATCGAGTTGATAGCCTTATATGTACGCCCAAAAAATAGCAATTATCTTCGATCACATTTAAGAGCCATAATGGCTCTTGAACACAGTAGATTAGACCTGGAAAACAAATTCTTGGGAAACAAATCAAGCCAAATTTTTTGCTTTCGACAAGTTCACTTTACAAAATCTTGCCAAGAAGTCTGGGGACGTGTAAACCAACCTTTTATACCTTTTATACCTTTTATACTCACATCTGAGGTGAAACAGACCTCTGACAGAAGGCAGTATTTCACAATTTTGCAATACAAAATGCACTCATTCAATATTCAGGACGATCGAAGCACGCGTGGGCTTTTAGCACCTATACTGCTTGCGGTTCTCACTTTGACAAGCGCAAAAGTCGACTGTTTAAATTAATATTAATAGAGTTATACGCTTCAACATAATAAAGAATTTATTATGTTTATTTTTTATTTAATGGTTTTATAACGATGTGTAATGTTCAAAAGCGTTTGATACGCGCGGCACTGTGACTACTTCTGCAAGCGATATTCATGAGCGACTGAAAACAAACGACACAGCGATTAAAATTGCAAAAAGAGACTAGTAACAATTAATAAAAGGAAAATAATTCGGTGAAACATATACAGAGACAACAATTTCCATTCACGAAGACAAGTATTAAAGTGTCTCTGAAAATCTTCGTTTATGTGTTAAGCCGGCTTCCCGGTGTTTGCTTTTTTAGCTTTTCTTCAAAGATGAACTCGGGGGAAGAAAATCGCTCAAAGCTTTCCTTTACAGCCAGAATTGTAACTAAATATTCTTTAGAACGTTTTATTTCTACTTGCGGTGAGAAAATGTCTAAAGGCTTTTTAAAGTTCTATAAGCTTATAATCAAACCTGATACTCGGTCAGATCATTGTCTCAAATCTTACAAACGTGCATAAACTAAATAGCCGCATAAACTACGCCCGACTTCATTAAATTACAATACAATAATTACTCAGGCTTACCATTCGAGATGCATTGAAAACTATCAAGTAAGGCCAGCAGAATCGCTTCAGACTTTTCAACCCTCTTACGCATCAAGCAAGGTGAAAAACAAAAACGATGCCACCCGAAATCGGATTTCCGACTTTGACAAGCGACGTATTTGTCAACCAAAAACCAACCCAATAAACAAATTGCCATGAATAACAGAAGACTCTTGATAGCAGCTGAATTCATTTTGCACATTCAGTGGAAAAAGACAGCTAAAAACATCACAAGTTGACACAAAAGAGGGGCACCCAACGTCAATTTTCGGAAAATATCTGTTCGGAAGACGATTTGAGATCTAGAATTTTCGGAACATTTTTTTGTGAAATTTCTTGCTTGTCTACCTCTCCTAAGATTTTCAAACATCTAAAAATTGGTGTAATTGCCCATTTTTAACGGATTTTAACCCTAAAAAGCTCACCTAGAATTTTCGGGAGCCTTTTTACTGGCTGAAATTTTCGAAAAGGTAAGTTTTGATCCCTATGATTTTCGGTTTTTGCTATGTTTAAGTGGTTTTGAACTATATTCTCGTTGGATGCCCCTAACAAAACTCTGTCAGCTTCAGCGGTCAAAGTAAACAAGTTTCAAGATGCTGCATAAATATTCCGCATGAACTCACCTATCAAATTTTGACCAATCAGAGCATAAAAATTGGACGTAGAGCGTGACCAACGCATGACCTTGGTTAAAAAAGTCAAAAGCAACTGGCATGTCTTCCCTGCCTGTGAAAACTGGCTGAATTTTAGCTTCCGAGGTCAGTTTAAAAATCAAAATTTTAATTGTGCGACACATATAAAGCACAACATACTTCATATGAATGAAAAAAAAATAAACTTGAGCCTGCGATCATTTGAAAACTAGTAACTTGTCAGCGGATAATTTCAAAACGATACTCGACCTCGATAGGTCGACGCATTAGCCCGCGGTACGGTAAGGTGATACTGGTCAGCGGATACCCTGTTTTGACAGCTGTCAATTGATCACAACATTGATGTACAATATGTGTGCAATATCAGTCTCCCTGTGCTCCCAATCTAGTGGCTAGAAAGTGTGAGATTGAACATTGGTTTCCCTGTGGTGCGGATGGAGGGGCGGGCGGGCGGGCTGTGTACGGTCACGTGATTACCAAATTTTCTTGGATGGGTAGCTTTACTTACCCATGCTTCTCCGCAGGCGCGCTTCTCGCGCCTGAGCTCCGCTATAAAATAGCCAA